GTCTTTCCAGAGCTCCTGGAAGCCCCAAATCGGTCACGAGGGCGGCCGAACGGCGCACCACATCCACCAGACGCCCGAAGACGACCGAAATAGTACCCCCAAGAGGATTTTGAAATGAAGAACGCATGGATCTCCCATGTGTTTGCGTATGACTTTGGGAATGCTCTGTTCGTCGGTCTTCTGGGCGTTCGAGACCGCCCAGGAGGCCCGAACATCTCTCCCAAACTGCCCGAAAGGGCTTCCAGGCAGTCCCAGAGAGCCCGAAGACGGCCCAACAGGGTCCCGAGGTAGCCCCAAGAGAGCCCGATGACGGCCCAAGATGGCCCCAAAACGCCCCCCGAAGAGTTCCAACTCGTGACCCAGTCGTTCAGGGAGACCGCGCTTGGAAGCAAGGTGGCCCAATGAAGCCCCCAGAGGAACCCTGAGCGCGCCCAGGAGACCTCCAGAATGTCCCAAGAAGCTTTGCAAAAACTGTAGTGAGGCTTCCAAGAGACTCTCCAAGAAGGAGCCCCTGCAAAAAGGGCTGAGGGAAGAAGTCGCAGGGTAATTCGGGCGAGAATGAGGCAGTGGAACAGAAAGCATGAGGGAATGAAGACGAATCATATTCTCATATCGACGACGTCGGGAGAGGCAACACAGAGTTATCGCTAAATTTCGAGTTTATCTTCCTGCCCCTCCGCCTGCATGCCACACTTCAAGTACCAAGGTGCACGGCGCGAAGCGCCAATGCAGTCTTGCATGTCTGTCTGTCTGCCTGTCTGTCTTTATGTATGCATGTATGTATGCATGTGTGTGTATGTATGTGTGTATGTATGTATGTATGTATGTACGTACGTACGTACGTACGTACGTATGTATGTATGTATGTATGCATATATGTATGCCTGTATGTATGTATGCATGTATGCATGCATGTACGTATGTAGGTATGCATTTGGTTATGTATGCATGCATGCATGTATGCACGCATGTATGTGTGTATGTATGTATGTATGTATGTATGTATGTATGTATGTATGTATGTATGTGTGTATGTATGTATGTATGTATGTATGTATGTACGCATGTATGTATTAATGTGATGTAATGTGTTGTAAAGTAATGTAATGTAATGTAGTGTATTGTAATGTAATGTACTGTACTGTATGTATGTATGCATGTATGTATGTATGTATGTAGGTAGGTAGGTAGGTAGGTATGCATGCATGTGTATGTATGTATGTATGTATGTATGTATGTATGTATGTATGTATGTATGTATGTAGTGTATGTATGTATGTATGTATGCATGTATGCATTCATGCATGCATGTATGTATGTATGTATGTACGTAGATATGTATGTATGCATGCATGCATGCGTGCATGTATGTATGTATGCATGCATGCATGCATGCATGCATGCATGTACACATGTATGGACATCTAAATATATGTGTGTACGTGTATATGTATATGTATACATTTATACCATTATATATGTATATATACACATATGTATACACATATTTTTATATATACATATATATATATACATATATATGTATATGTATCCATATATATATGTATACATATTTACATATATATATATATATATATATATCTCTTCCCATATCTTTATAAGCCTGGGCGAGGGGAAAACCCGTCGCCCCCCCTAAAACCAGACCCCCGGGATCTTGAGCTTTGGGACCCTCCGGACGGGCCTCGAAGCGGCCTTCTGGGCCTCGCAGGGCATTTTGCCAAGCTTTCGCAGCACACCCAGGGCGATCAGGGGGGTCACCGGAGACGTCCCAGAGACCCCCAAGACAGCACAAGAGCGCTTCAAGAAGCCGTAATACCCCGAAAGATCGCTCCAAAACGGACCAAGAGGCCTCCAAGAGCACCCCCAAGAAGGCCCCAAGAGGGAAACATCGCTGATTCTATTTAGGTTTTTGGTGCATGTGGGGTTCTCTTCTTCTAGGCAGTCCAAGAGAGCCCCAAAACGGCACAACAGGGGTCCAAAATGGCCCTAAGAGAGCACCATGGCGGCCCAAGATGGCCCCAAGACACCCTCCGAAGCATTGCAAATCGTGACTGGGGCGTTCAGGGAGACCGCGGTTAGAGACAGGTTGGCCTTAGGAAGCCCCAGAGGCCCCCAGAACACACCCAGGAGGCCTCCAGGAGGCCTCCAGAAGGCTTTTAGAAAGCCTGAGAACTTTGGTGAGGCCCCCAGAGGCTCTCCAAGGAGGAGCCTCCGCGAAAAGAGCTGAGGAGGATGGGGATAATGCCCAGGGTATGGCGAGAATGAGGAACAATAAGCATGGAAGAAGGATAACGAACAACATTATCAGAACGGCGATGCCAGAAAAGGCAGCAAGGAGTTATCGCTAAATTCTCGGCTTGACCATCCTGCCAGTTCCGCCTGCATGCCAAACTTCAAGGACCAAGGTGCATGGCGCGAAGCGCCACTGCAGCCTTATATATGTATATACACATATATTTATATACAGTCTTATATATACATATATGTATATATATATATGTATACATATGTATATATATATATATATATATATATATATTCCTCTTCCTATATTTTTATAAGCCCGGGCGGGGGGAAAACCCGTCCCCCCCCCCCTAAAACCGGACCCCCGGGATCTGGAGCTTTGGGACCCTCCGGACGGGCCTCGAAGCGGCCCTCTGGGCCTCGCAGGGCGTTTTGCCAAGCCTTCGCAGCACACCCAGGGCGATCAGGGGGGTCACCGGAGACGTCCCAGAGACCCCCAAGACAGCACAAGAGCGCTCCAAGAAGCCGTCATACCCCGAAAGATCGCTCCAAAACGTACCAAGAGGCCTCCAAGAGCACCCCCAAGAAGGCCCCAAGAGGGAAAAATCATTGATTCTATGTAGGTTTTTGGTGCATTTGGGGTTATCCTCTTTTCGGCTTCCCGACGCTCCAAGACGGCGGTCTCCTAGGCGTCCGAAGCCGCCTGGGAGGCTCCCAAATCGCCCTACAACCATCCGAAAGGGCTTCCAGGCAGTCCAAGGGAGCCCCAACACGGCACAACAGGAGTCCAACATGGCCCTAAGAGAGCACCATGGCGGCCCAAGTTGGCCCCAAGACGCCCTCCGAAGTGTTCCAAATCGTGACTGGGGCGTTCAGGGAGACCGCGGTTAGAGGCAGGTTGGCCGTAGGAAGCCCCAGAGGCCCCCAGAACACACCCAGGAGGCCTCCAGAAGGCTTTTAGAAAGCCTGAGAACTTTGGTGAGGCCCCCAGAGGCTCTCCAAGGAGGAGCCTCCGCAAAAAGAGCAAAGGAGGATGGGGAGAATGCCCAGGGTATGGCGAGAATGAGGAACAATAAGCATGGAGGAAGGATAACGAACAACATTGTTATAACGGCGATGCCAGAAAAGGCAGCAAGGAGTTATCGCTAAATTCTCGGCTTGACCATCCTGCCAGTTCCGCCTGCATACCAAACTTCAAGGACCAAGGTGCATGGCGCGAAGCGCCACTGCAGTCTTTTTTTTTATATATATATATATATATACATACAGTCTTATATATATATATATAGTCCTCTTCCTATATTTCTATAATCCCGGGCGGGGGGAAAACCCGTCCCCCCCCCCCCTAAAACCGGACCCCCGGGATCTGGAGCTTTGGGACCCTCCGGACGGGCCTCGAAGCGGCCCTCTGGGCCTCGCAGGGCGTTTTGCCAAGCTTTCGCAGCACACCCAGGGCGATCAGGGGGGTCACCGGAGACGTCCCAGAGACTCCCAAGACAGCACAAGAGCGCTCCAAGAAGCCGTCATACCCCGAAAGATCGCTCCAAAACGTACCAAGAGGCCTCCAAGAGCACCCCCAAGAAGGCCCCAAGAGGGAAACATCATTGATTCTATGTAGGTTTTTGGTGCATTTGGGGTTATCCTCTTTTCGGCTTCCCGACGCTCCAAGACGGCGGTCTCCTAGGCGTCCGAAGCCGCCTGGGAGGCTCCCAAATCGCCCTACAACCATCCGAAAGGGCTTCCAGGCAGTCCAAGGGAGCCCCAACACGGCACAACAGGAGTCCAACATGGCCCTAAGAGAGCACCATGGCGGCCCAAGTTGGCCCCAAGACGCCCTCCGAAGTGTTCCAAATCGTGACTGGGGCGTTCAGGGAGACCGCGGTTAGAGGCAGGTTGGCCGTAGGAAGCCCCAGAGGCCCCCAGAACACACCCAGGAGGCCTCCAGAAGGCTTTTAGAAAGCCTGAGAACTTTGGTGAGACCCCCAGAGGCTCTCCAAGGAGGAGCCTCCGCAAAAAGAGCAAAGGAGGATGGTGAGAATGCCCAGGGTATGGCGAGAATGAGGAACAATAAGCATGGAGGAAGGATAACGAACAACATTGTTATCACGGCGATGCCAGAAAAGGCAGCAAGGCGTTATCGCTAAATTGTCGGCTTGACTTTCCTGCCATTTCCGCCGGCATACCAAACTTCAAGGACCAAGGTGTATGGCGCGAGGCGCCACTACAGTCTTGTATTTGTTTACACACATATATATATACATATTATGGCACCGCGCAATTGACACAACATTGACTACAAACATATACCTCATATCACATGATGCACCACGTAGATTGCCCAGTACATGTTGCATACATACATCTACATAATCACATACAAATGTACACATATGTATCCATGCATGTATATATATATATATATATATAAATATATTCAAAGCTGCGTATACATGCACAACACAGCGAATGCTTGCACAACACAGGTTGCACACATATTGCGCCACGTAGAAAGCACCTCGTAGATGGCTCCACGCATGTATACTGCACAACTTATTTTGCTACAGACGCTGTTTCGGGTCCTCGCTGCCGAACATTTTAAATGCTCCGTTCTTGTTCCTCCAAAGGACCACCTCGCCCTGTTTATGGAGCTGCTGGGGCCAATGCCGAAGCAGCTTATCAGTCAGGGACGCAAGTCCCCGACCTACTTCAACCGCCGCGGCGAGCTGCGCCACATTAAGCGGCTGCGCTACTGGAGCCTGGAGGAGGTGCTCAAGCAGAAGTATCAGATGCATCCTGTCGAGGCCCACGGCCCACAGGACGAGGAGGAGGAGGAGGAATGAGACGCAGCAGGAAGAGGAGGATGAGGACGAGGAGGAAGTGGGAGGAGGGACGATCGAGTAACAAGACAAAGCATACAGATGAACTTCGGGAGCTCCGAGCGGATTTCTTGGATCGGCGCTGTGCCCCCCCCTGGCGGCGCCTCCAGCGCGCTCCGCGCGCCAGGGAGGGGAGGAGGGGGAGGAGGAGGAGTAGGGGGAGGAGGAGGAGGAGGAGGAGGAGGAGGAGGAGGAGAGGAGGAGGAGGAGGAGGAGGAAGATGAGGAGGAGGAGGAGGGAAGAGGAGGAGGAGGGAGGAGGAGGAGGAGGAGGAGGAGGAGGAGGAGGAGGAGGAGGAGGAGCAGGAAGAGCAGGAGGAGGAGGAAGAGGAGGAGGAGGAGGAGAGGAGGAGGAGGAGGAGGAGGAGGAGGAGGAGGAGGGGAGGAGAGGAGGAGGAGAAGAAGGAGGAGGAGGATGAGGAGGAGGAATAGGAATAAGAATAGGAGGAGGAGGAGGAGGAGGAGAGAGGAGGAGGAGGAGGAGGAGGAGGAGGGAGGAGGAGGAGGAGGAGGAGGAGGAGGAGGAGGAGGAGAGGAGGAGGAGGAGGAGGAGGAGGGAGGAGGAGGAGGAGGAGGAGGAGGAGGAGGAGGAGAGAGGAGAGGAGGAGGAGGAGGAGAGAGGAGGAGGAGGAGGAGGGAGGAGGAGGAGGAGGAGGAGGAGGAGGAGGAGGAGGAGGAGGAGGAGGAGGAGAAGGAGGAGGAGTAGGCGGAGGGGGAGGGGAGGGGAGGGGGAGGAGGAGCAGGAGGAGGAGGAGGAGGAGGAGGAGGAGGAGGAGGACGAGGAGGAGGAGGAGAGGAGGAGGAGCAGGAGGAGGAGGTGGAGGCGGAGGGGGAGGGGGAGGGGGAGGGGGAGGAGGATGAGCAGGAGGAGATGGGGGAGGAGGATGAAGAGGAGGAGGAGGAGGACGGGCGAGGAGGAACAGGAGGCGGAGGAGGAGGAGGATGATGAGGAGGAGGAGCAGGAGGAGGAGGATGATGATGATGATGAGGAGGAGGCGGAGGATGAGGGGGAGGATGAGGAGGAGGAGGAGGAATCATAAGAAGAGGATATGGAGGAGGAAGAGGAGGAGGATGAGGATGACTAATAATACTACGAATATGATGAGGAACACTAATATTATTAGTAATGAAATTACGAATCATACTAATACTATTAATACTGATAGGAGTAAGATGAATACTACTACTACTACCACGAATAATAGTACTACTAACACTACTACGGATAATAATGACATTACTGATCATACCAACGATAGTCATATTTATGTGATTAAGAACAGTAATAACACTAATCATAGTATTAGTACTAAGAATATTACTTCTAATAATACTAATACTATTACGAATACTAATCACAATAATAATGCGGATGCCCAGAAAATGAATGATACTAATACGAATGCAAAAGAATAATACTAAGCATAAGACGAATACTGATAATAAACATAATGATACTATTGAGCAACATGAACATAAGAGGAGGAGGAGGAGGAGGAGGAGGAGGAGGAGGAGGAGGAGGAGGAGGAGGAGGAGGAGGAGGAGGGGGAGTGGCGAGGAAGAGGGATGATGCTGATGATGATGCTGCATCTGATGATGATGATGCTGATGATGATGCTAGTCGTGATGGTGATGCTGATGATGATGCTGATGATGATGATGCTGATGATGCTGCTGATGATGACGATGATGATGCTGATGATGCTGCTGATGATGACGAGGATGATGAGGATGATGATTATCAGGATGATGGTGCTGATGATGATGATGCTGCTGCTGATGATGATGACGATGATGACGATGATGATGATGATGATGCTGCTGCTGATGATGATGACGATGATGACGATGATGATGATGATGATGATGATGATGATGATGATGATGATGATGATGATGATGATGATGATGATGATGATGATGATGATGATGATGATGATGATGATGATGATGATGATGATGATGATGATGATGATGATGATGATGATGATGATGATGATGATGATGATGATGGATGAGGAGGAGGAGGAGGAGGAGAGGAGGGAGGAGGAGGAGGGAGGAGGAGGAGGAGGAGGAGAGAGGAGAGGAGGAGGTGGAGGAGGAGGAGGAGGAGGAGGAGGAGGAGGAGGAGGAGGAGTTGGAGGAGGAAGAGGGGCGAGGAGGAGGAGGGTCGAGGAGGAGGGGCGAGGAGGACGGGCGAGGCCTGCAACCTCGCCTCGTTCCTGCTCCCCATGCTCCGGCTCGGCCCGGCGGAGCGCAGCACCGCCGGGCAGCTCCTGCAGCACCCGTGGCTCCGAGGGCAACTCAGCCCGGAGGCCGCGGCCATTGTACAACAGCACGCATAGGTTTGCCATCGAAAA